TCTCTCACACACACACACACACACACACTCTCTCTCTTTCACACATGCGTGTGACTGAATGCTGTTTTCTCACCACTGTGCTGATTTTGGTCTTGCCGTCTGATGCTCTGAAGAGACATTTGTTGTCGGCTGGTTCGTACGTCTCTGGATGGCCTTTTCTGGGGACCGGCTTTGTTCTGCCGTCATCTGCAGATGAAAATCATCATTTAATATATCAACAAAACAGTGACGAGCTCAACATGTCAATGCATTAGCCAGAGTTTTATCATTAAAACTATAAACAATGTTGATAATTGAAATAAATCAGAAATATTAGATGAAAAACTTGAATGAAAAGTAGTAAGTAAAACTAAAACACCTAATGCTATAAACAATGTTGATAATTGAAATAAATCAGAAATATTAGATGAAAAACTTGAATGAAAAGTAGTAAGTAAAACTAAAACTAAAAAGAAATTAAACCTAAATAGCCAGATTACAACATAACAACAAAATAATTCAAACATTGCTAAAAAAATTATAGATATTTTATTCAAACATAATTAAAAAAATTGCAATTTAAGTTCAATTTGTTTTTTCAGTATAAAATAAAAATACTGAAAAAAATATATTTTTAAATAAATATATTTCATTTAAATATATATTTAAATATATAATAAAAATATAATTTAAATATATATATATTTGATTTAAAAATATTTATAAGTAAAAATTTAAAAAAAGAAAAAATATTTTATAAATATTTGAATAATTTTAAAATATTAACACTTAAAATATTCTAAAATCTAAATATACATTTTAAAAAATTGTATACACAATACTAAAATAGCACTGGCATTACCTCAGATCTGATAAACTGAAACATAGCGAGAAACATTTATTGCACACTGAATAAGATGAATCTAATAACTCAGATGAACATACATTTCTTTAAAGTGATGACGACGCTGCCAGTGGTCCTGCACTTCTGGAACAGCCGAGTGAGTTCAGTCAGAAACTACAGACAGAGAGAGAGAGACATAACTTCACCCTTGGTGTGAACAAAATTGAAAATGTCACAAACTACACATACCTCGGGCTGAAGATAAATGCCACTGGCAAGCTAAATTTGGCTGTGAATGAACTGAAAGAGAAAGCAAGAAGGGCCTTTTATGCCATCAAAAAATCTATCCAAATTGAAATAGAATCTGGCTCAAAATATTCCAATCAGTCATAGAACCTATTGC